CCTGGCCTGACAACTCCCACCCCTGCCTCCACCTGCAAGGCTACCATCCGCTCCTCTTCTAAGGCTGAATGACCCCTATGCCAGGTTGAGGGTTTTTTTTAAAAGCCTGCTCAAATTATTCAGCAATGGAGAAGTCATGGGTTTGTGGAGAAGACCTGAGGGTGCTGAGGCTATCCTAAAAGCCCCATCTTGCCTACCCACCCTATAGCTAGTGGACTCCTCCTGCTCACTGTCATTGGCAAACCCAAGGCCCATTGCTTACTCCTGGCCTGACAACTCCCACCCCTGCCTCCACCTGCAAGGCTACCATCCGCTCCTCTTCTAAGGCTGAATGACCCCTTATTAAGAGCAGGTCATGGCTTTCTTCTCCAGAAAACTTTTCCTGGGTGTCATTCTCCACACAACCTGTCTTTTAGCTTGGTCTCCAGGTAACCGTGGAGAACCCACTGCCTATTTCCCTCCTAGCCCAGGTCTAGGTCTTACCTCTAAACTCCTAGCACCATCTGCATTCACCTTACAAATGCCGCTCCATCTCCAAAGCTACTACCCACCTTACAGATCAGCCACCCAGCTTCAGAGAGTTTTCTGTTTTCTATTTTCTCCTATGTGAGGCTCCTCAGGCCTGGAAGACATTTACCCATCTGTTGCCATCGCCGTTCTGAGGCTTCTCACTTAGCGTGACTTTGGTCTCTCCATCAAGACAATGAATTTTCTGCAGGTCTTGCTCCACTGACTCCAGTGCAGGATGAGAAGGGCTGGATGAATGCAAGAACAACTGAGTAGTGATGCCTCCGAGCCACGAAGCGTGGACTGGGGAGGCTGGGTGGCTGCAGGTGTTCTGAACTGCCTGTTCTCCTCCACAGCCTTGAACTCCTTTCCAGAGAGTGAAACACGGATGACTGAAAACAGTGTTGATTCCCTGCCTTAGTCAGATTAGCCACTGTTATCTATAAACTTCACCCTGAGCACCAACTGTGTGCCCATCGCTGTGAGAGGGATTGCAGAGGAACAGGAGGGACCGGGTCACTGGTTGCCTGCTTTCCGGGAGTTCACCATAGAGATGGAGAGAGAGAATCCACAACCAGGAGAGCTGGAGCAGGTCTGAGGATATGTCCCCACAGCCAAGGCTGTAGAATGTGGGTCAGCAGGTGCCAGGAAGAATGACAGCTTGCTCACGGGAAGGGAAACTGAGCACAAAGAGGGCTCTCTCCCTCCTAGAAGGAACACAGGAGTGGCAAAGACAGTGAGGGATCAAAAGGCAATGGTAAGGTCTGAGCTCCTAACCTGCCTGACCCAATACCCTACAGGACTTTCTGACTCCCCCAGAAATGAATCAGCAATGAAATGTAAGCCCCAAACCCAGAGAAAAAATGAGAATCAACTCCCACTCCCATTTTCCAGCCCTCTCACTCTCACTCTCCTCTCTCTCAGTGGATGGAATAATTGTGATCATGAAGTGGCACTTGGAGAAAAAGTTTTAAATCTCCTTAAACGTCACAGTGAGTAATACTTTGCCCCATCTTTCTCTAATTACATTTCTCTTTGATGATCTAAGGTTAAAAACATTTTTTAACTCAAGTCTCCCTAGAATATCAAGGATACCAAAGAGCCAACCTAACATGTCCCATCCTATTTTCTCCAGGGTCCTGCTCCTTTACTGCATTCATGTAAGACACCTGTCCATGTTATTTTATCCCTAACATTCTGCTGCTTGAAGAGATGGGAGCCTAAGAGATCCAGCTCTGTGCCTTTAAGAGATCAATGCCTAGGCAGAAGCTGCCTCTGCTGCTGTTTACACAGGTAGCTCAGTTATCACAGGACTGGTGCCCCGGCTGCTTCGGCCTCAACAAGCCGGTAGGAGATATTCAGTTCACCATACACCTGCCAGAAAGCTGAGAGGTGAGGGCTGTGCTATGCCCCTAGGGAGGATGGCCCAAATTCTAAATGAGTCATCATCAGGTGGGCTAGAGGGAGGAGGGGAAGCTTGTCTAAGGAAGAAGGAGCTCTCCATGGCCTTGGGTCCACATACAAAGGGACATAACACAGAGAAGCAGTTCTGGAGGAAGCTGACATAATGCAGCACGGGCATCTGAAATAATCAGGTGCCCCTTTTCATTAGCAACCCCACTCCATATTCACACCGGCCCAGGAGTGGCTCTTATTTATGTATTGGTTATTATTAATAATAATAAATATGAATAAACAATTGTGAATAGTTTACTTGGACCAGGGGGTTGACTGGGGTGGTGGCAGGAAAAAGAGGGTGGACCCCAGTGGCCCTCTCCTGAGCTGTCCTCTGCTTTCCAGCTGCCCTGACTTTCCATTGCTATGGCTTTGCTTTGAGGGGGTGGAAGGCAGGAAGAGGTAGAGACCTCAAGAAGGAACTACTCTCCTTAACTCCCCTATGATGGCAGAAAATATATTCCACTCTGCTGTGAGATCCTGGGAGCCAAGCATCAGCATAGAAACATGATATTGGAGGAGATATTTTGGATAATTAGCTTCTGCTGATGTGGGGGGTAGGTACACACACACACACGTGCATGCACCAGAGTATGAATACAATCAGGGTCTGTGCACATGCCCAGGATGTATCCACACAAGCACACACATCCAGCTTGGGACAAGATATGCATACACCTCCTGCCAAACACACAAACCCTCCATGTGCTTACCAGGACATGTCTGCTTTATTACAGCACCTCACAGGTACACCAAGTAAATAGCCATAGCTGGCAGACTCTGTGAGTTTCTGTTCCATTCCATCAACTCCAACAATTTCTACACCAAAATAAAATAACTGGATAATGTAAGACCAGGATACCTAGTCAGAATCAACTATACTTACAATTCCATCAAGCAAAGACAGAAGAATCTAAAATGAAAGGAAGAAGTTTCACAGTTCTTAGAACCTTACTTGCTCTGTGATTTGGGGGTCCCATCCTTTGAGGGAAGCTTGGGGTCTCAGGTGAACCTTGAACCTCACCTCAGGGCTGGGAACCTCAGGGCCTCCGGCCTCCTCTGGCGCTGGAGAGTACCGTTTTGTGGTTGTACCACGATGGCTTGGCCTGGGTTTACAGGCTGCTGGGGTCTCATTTCTTTAAATAAATGTTAAAACAAATCGTGTAGTAACTTGATGTAATTCGAGAGTAAGAGCAGAGAAACCCAGAGCACCCAAAAATGGTCAGCCCGGGACCCTCCAGGGTCAGGCCAGCAGCTCAGCCCGCCGCCCCAGCTCCCAGCCCCACGGGGAAAGCAGCGCCTGATTTTAACTGGCCGACTTCTGAAGCTGAGAAAAGCTGTCCTGGAAAGACAAACGCGGGAAAGGGTGGGGTGCAGGTAAATGCCATTAAAATGCAAATCTGCTACCCCAGACAAGTTCCACCACCAGTATTTGCACCCAGAGGCGGGGCTGCTCCACCCGGCTCCCACGCGTGCCACTCCCTCGCGCGCGCAGCTGAGGTCCCAGACCCGGCGGGCCCGCGGGGGAGTCTGGTGAGGCACTGGCTGGGAGGCTACACCCTTGACTTCAGCCGGCAGACGCGACTCCCCGCCTCGCACCTCTGGAGCTGGGGTGCAGCAAAGGAAACCCGCGGGGGCAGCGCACGCCGGGCGAGTCAGTCCACCAGCAGCCCAGAGAGAGATTCGGGGCTTTATTTCTTTGAGGGTGAATGAAGAAAAACAATTTTTCCCCAATTTTAACCAGAAAAGCAAACGAGGGGGAAAAAATCAAGCCAGTGCCCCCGCGCTGGCTCACCGGACCCGGCGCCCGGCGCTTTTCTCCCTCCTCGGCGAGCCAGGCGCAGGCTTCCACCTTCCTCCCTCCAGCCGCTGGCCGAATCGGCCACCGCTCTCCAGGACGGGCGGACGGGTCCGGGACCGAAACACCCATCCCGCCTTCGGAGGAGTACCGGGACGAGAACGGGCCCCAAATCTCTATCCTCAGTTCCCCTGGTACAACCCAACTGCTCCCCGGGCCCATCTTCCCAGGTGGCTCGGGTGGCGGTAGATGCCCGGTGGGAGGGAGATCTGGGGCCGCTCTCGCAGGTTGGGGATGCGAGGAGGTAAAGAGCCAAGGCAGACAGACAGAGAGAAACGGGGAGAGCGCGCGCGGGCGAGAGAGCTCTTGTCTACAGATTTATCCACATAATATATATTTATGTAGCTTTTTTTTTCTCTCGACACTGATCAATGCGCACTCGGATCGCTGGGCGGACTCCCTCCAAGCCTGCCCGCTTTTTCTAGTCTAAATAAATAAATAAATGGAGCCAGATGGGAGAGAAAAGCGCCCATTCCACCTCCGCCGCCTCCGCCTTCGCCGCCGCCCCGCCCGCCGCCCCTGCCTTCGCTTCGCCCGCCAGTCGCCCCAGTAGAGCGCAGCTCGGTGGATACCCCCTCCCAGCATACCCACACGAAAACGAAAATCAATGTTTTTAAAATACAAAAAGTTGCACCTGCTGCTATTACAAAAAGAACCCCCAAAGGGCAACGAGAGGAGGCCGACTGCCCGCTTCCTAACGGGCACCCGCTGCCCACGGCCGCCGGGCCCCGGAATCTCAGCACCTCCCGAAGAGCCATGCGCCTGGCGCTATTTATAGCCGGGGACGTCTCGGACTGTACCACCGCCGCTCCGCGGGGC